ATTAGCATAGGTAAAGCAAAAGATCACCGATCAAAGCTGGGATATATCATTGATCAAGGTTGTCTGAAGGGCAAAAAAATGTTTTGTGAAGCGCTCAGAATTCGAAATAACTCTTCGATCGACCCAATTTATTCGACAATATTTGTTGGTACCATTTAATGCTTTGGTTGCCCCACGACACTTTTAATCATAGGCATAAGCATAGACACATTTGAATACGACATATACTGTCCTGTTATTCCTATGTGAAATTCGTTTCCAGTATCATTCGTTCCAATAAAGGAATGGCGGGATAGCCGATTATTACAACTTACCGAACATTTACCGAACGAGAGGAGCCCGGCGTTAGCAGCGTGATCTGACTAGTTTATCAGTAATGGTTCCCAGTCTGCAAAGTCGTAGTTATTGAGTGACGCCCAATTTGTGTTCTCACTCCTGCTCTTTTCAAACAGGCTTGTATTGAAATACTTAATATGCCATATAGCTATCCTTCAAGTTCCAGTAAAGTTCTCTTCATCGCGTACAGCGAAGCCCTTTTCTGCTATAAGAGATTTTCTCAGTTCATGCGAAATCTCCTTAGTTGGAAGGATTGCATTCAGTGAATGCTGCCTCACCACATTGACTTTTATGTGACCTAGCTTCGCGCTATTGATTAGTAGGCTTATATTGAAGAAAAAGAGTTTGTTTTGTTTCGTTTTTGTTGAGTGCGCGTGTATTTGCACATGTTCACAGCTTACAGGCACGGTCAACGATAAAAAAGGTTACTGAGTTCTTACCTTATCAATACTCAGCGGCCACCATGGGTGGTAGAAGGGACCCTCTCGCTCCCAAAATCTCGACGCTGTTGCTGCCGTAATTGGCTTTTCCGTCCCTCGATCGATGTCACGTCAGACGCGTGTCGAGACAATACAGATTGCAACCATTCGTTTTAGGACCCACACACAATCAGCTGATCGCCGAGTGATGAGACGATGTTTTTCTCCCATTCTTTTTCCTCTGCTTTTCTTTTTGCAGCACCGATCCCTTATTTGATTTATACTCCTAGAGGCCGAAAAAGGTGAGCTACTTTCGCTGTTATTAGGGTTTTTTGTTTACTTATGCTTATAAATGAATGAATTTTCGCTTACCGTAGTCTGTTATTTGCACCAGTACGCAGTGAGACACATTGTATAGCTCGTCCTTTCGCCCCACTCTTCTTCATTTTTGTGGTCTCATGCTCGTTCAGCCCCTTTTTACTGGTTTTGCAAAGCCTTTTTTTTTGCTTTGGAAACACCGATACAAGCAGTTTCTTCAACTTCATCGCACTATTTTCGATCTTGTCTTCCATTTTCATCATAATCTGGATTACCCAAAATTATCGTGAGCTGTGCCTCTAAATGCATTGTCGTTTTCAGAATTGGCAGCTTATTTTCTATTTCTGCAAATCCTGGCAGCCGGTGGTTTTATCCTATTTGTTGGGCTTTGGCTACATGACACGCGCACCATCTATGTAGGAACGAATGTGGTAGTGAGCTTATTGCTATACCTTTTAATACTATGCCTGTCAACACTATCAATTGCAAGACAAGCGAATCGATTCGTCGGCTTCTAGATTTTAGCAGAGGAGGTGAAAAAAAAGAAATGGTTTCAAAGTGGTTTCAGGAATCTCACTACACGACAGCGATCTCCATTAAATGGTGAATTTACTGTGGAAATGCCGTTTTGGACAATTTCAGAGGAAGTCACATGTGATCTCGGGTTTTGAGTCTAGTCGTGGCATCTTTTACCACCGTATCACCACGATTTTTCCCCGAAAAGGATTCCATGGCAATTGCTGGATTTTTTTGTGTGTACATGAATTCATCCTACCTAGTGTTCCAACAGTACTTTATAGACGTCACTTCACTTGTACCAACGCATCTCCGGCTGCGATGTGAGGACAGTACTTCTTCCAAAGGGGGCCCTGGTCGGATGAGTTACTCGACCTCCTCTCGAAAAAGTATGAAGCTGCCGGAAGTTTCGTAATCCGTTCTTGAGTGTTCGGAGTTCAAGGGCACCTCTATTCTCGTAATTTTGTTACCAGAATCGTTCAGCAGATTCGAAGAGTGATTTGAGGTTGGCGCCTGAAAACACCTACGACGGTGCATCTCGTCTTGCACCTCATCTCGAATGGACACTGCGACTGAGTACCTTTTCCTTGTAATAGAAAACCGGCCTAACCTCAGACAATGACAGTCGCTGTAACAAAAGGTCCAGTAGTGACCATGAGAGGTTTCGCCCGCTGACCACAGCTCGAACAAAACAAACATACATACAGGAAACGGACATATCATCTGTATGACCTGTCGTCCCGTTGATCATCGCCTTCCTCGAGCGGGCGCCAGTTACGTCTCCATTCGTCCCTATCGCGAGTCAGAGTGGTTCAATGGATCGTCACAATTCATTGGACGACCTCGCTTCAGGGACACGAGGCTCAGCATTCTTTTCGTTCAGCGCTTTCGTGAAGAGTCTGACCATCGCCTTGCAGCCGTCCTGGAGTTTGTTTGATATCCCGAGGCATCCACTCAGTAACCGCCCTGGTCCAACGATATCGCATAACGGATTCAGCCCACGTGATCTTCGAATTCTTGGCGTGATCAACGGCGTCCCTGATCTTTGTTCGTTGACGGAGCTCGGAACTCCGGATTCCCCTCTGCACTTGCGTGAATAAGGAAATTCCGAGCGGCGTCGTTTCCAAAGCGCGTTGAGTAACGCTGACAGCATGCTCATCCTGCTTCCGTAGAGTCCAAGTCTCGTAGGCGTACGTCAAAGCAGGAAGGACAGTGTCGAAAGGGTGAGTACGGAGCCGGATGTTCTTTGTCTTCTTCACTTTTCCCTCTATATTTTTGAATGCCCCCTCCCTCCCACGCAGCGCGTTTCCTTCTGCACAGCTCTGGAGCTAGTCGTTCATCATGTTGACTTCCCAACCTAGATACACATAGCTAGAGCATTCGGAGATACTCGTTCCGTTCAGCGCGAAGGGAGCATCAGGTACCAATCCGCTTTTCAAGGAAATTGTCTTCGCTAAGTTCAGTCTCAATCCGATCTTTCCACAAGCATTGTCAAACTCGGCCAGCACTCGTTGTTTCCTTGATGCTCGGTGTTATAAGCACGATGTCGTCTGCAAAGCGGGGGTGAAGTAGCTAGCGGCCGTCGACCTTCACTCCCAAGTCTTCCAGTTACTAACGCATGATATTCTCGGAAGCGGCATTGAAAAGCTTGGGCGAAATAGTATCGCCATGCCGGACACCTTTTTTCACGTTGACAGTGACTTCCTTGTAGAATGGTGAAATCCTGTCGTGAAGTTGTCGTAAAACTCAAGAAGCATCCTTACATGCTGAATAGGAACACCCTGGTTGCTCAGGGCTTCAATAACCGCTTCTGTTTCAACAGTGTCGAAGGCTTTCTTCGAATCGATGAACGAAAACATAACGGTGTTTTGTACTCTCGCAATACTTCAATGAGTTTTGTAAGAATGTGGATATGATCGATTGTGCTGGACCCTCTCCGGAAAACTGCCTGCTCGCATGACTGCTCTTCATCTAATATTCATCCTGTTCAGGATGACGCGAGTGAGCTTTTAGTTTTCGGCAGCAGGTATATTGGGCGATAATCGCCAATATTGTCGGGATATCCCTTCTTGCACAGGAACATAGTCTTGCTAGTTTCCAACGGCGTGGACACTTTGCACTCCGGCAGGTACCGCGTGAATAGCCAGTCAGATTTCCGACGATAGCGGGTGCAAGACTCATGTTCTGGTTTGATCCTATCGCGATCGGAGCCGTGCAATTCTCTGTCGAGGTGGTAGCATGAGTTTTGGATGGGAAAACTGAAGGGACGACGTATACGTTTTGCCTAAGATGGTAGTTAAGCAGGTAGACGTGGCGGTCGACGCGATCCGAGTAGAATTCGTAGATAGCCTTCTCCATTGCCCTTATAATTGGCGAAGATGCGTCGGGCATTGCGAATGATCTTTCTGGCCTCGCCAGCTTCGTCTTTAACTGCTGCTCGTTTCTTTTTCAGGTCTTCCTTTATCGCTTCACTGCATAGCTTCGCAAATTCGGACATTTGTTGATGATTGTCTGCGGCTTATGCGACTCCAAGCTGGTGTATCAGCTCTCGAGTCTTCGATGAGAGTCCTCCCTTGGCTACTTATAGACTCTCTGCTTTCCTAGCGCAATCGTGAAGATGTTCGATGAGCCGGTTGTATTCTTCATCGATGTTGTCGATAACAGAATCTCCCCATTCACTCGCAAGGGAAACGAAGTGGTCCCAGTTGATGGGGGACCTATACTCCATAGTTCTCCCTCTCCACGCACTGAGAAGCAGAATCTGGCGCGGAGGAGACGATGGTCCGATCCCGTGTAGAACTTTGGATAACAGCGACGTCAGTCAGGCAAAGTCTACGATTGAAGATGATGTGTTCTATTTCATTATGGAACTGTCCACCAGGTGACTCACATGTTCATCGCAAATGGGAGGGCCTCTGGAGTTGCAAATTACTATGGATGGTGTGGGTCGACATGATAAGTCCGGACAGCCTTTCACCCTGCTCGTTCCATTCCATTCCATCAGCCCTTCTGGAGCTCTCAGCCGCTCTTCTGGGGCCAATTTTGGCGCTAAAATCACCGAGCATGACCTTAAAGGAAGTGTGGTCTTCTCTGTAGAACCTCTCTAAACCCATATAAAACGCTTCCAACTCCTCTTCTTCGTAGCTTGTTATAGGTGCGTAGGCAACGAAGATGGTTAGAGTGGGGTTGAGCCACATCTTCTTAATTGCGAGCTTCCGATTCCAGTTGTTAAGCTTTCCTACGAATCGATGTTTATGTTTATGTTGACGAGAACACCTACACCGCCGACGCCTCTGCTGTCGCAACCTCTTAGGAGATTTTTCTCCACAATCGAAAAAAGCGTGCAACGGGCAATGCCTCCTCGTCTCGATCAGTCCGATGACATCGTACTTGATCTTCCTAGCGTGCATCATCAGGTCTTCTATACACGCTTCCGATGCAGCGTTCGTACATTGAAGGCACAGATCGCCATCTCAGCCCTTCTCCTTTTAGGCAGCCTGTTATGGCCATGAAATTTTAGCAGCCTCTCCCTAGCGGTCCTACCCAACGCTGCCGTATTGGGGCTCCCTCAGGTTAAGGGGAATGAGGTCCATTTCTTCTGCTGTTTTTGGCGAGTGGCTACCCACGTGTAGCTTGCCAGACTCTGACGAGTGTGCTGGGTTGAGTCCGGAAGCTTGCCGGGCTATCCCGAGGGGCCTTGTTTTTGAAACCCCGGATCGTCTCGCAGATACTTCCCAGTCGCTCGAATGCAAGCATTTGGCTGAGCTGATGGGCAGGAAATAACTGCACCCACAGACTCCACACGCGTGGATGCGAGAAAGAGAAGGTATATAGACCAGCTCAGCAGAATCAAGGAGTTCATCTCCTGGATCCACCTGCGTCTCTGGACAATTGCCGGTGGCTTTTGGTAGGCGATTAAGTCCCCTATCCGACACCTGGGGACGCTCTACGCAGCCTCGTCACTAACGGGCTGGGATCCCTCAGTGAGAGAGAACCCTCAGTGAAAGAGATCCGTAGATACACACAACGTTTATTCAAAATGACAAACCAAGAAAGAGCCAGAGATTGAAGCGCCTACATATGTAAATGCACTGTATAAATGAACCAGTCTGCACAAGACAATATAGGCGACATCGGCATGGTAATTCATCTCATATGTTTCCGCATGCAAAATATATTATATAATATATAAAATATATACAAAATATGTTCTCAGAACGTGTCAAGATGTAACAGTGGTTCTTCTTAAATGGTCCTGCTTCTGTATTTGTCGTTTTATCCTCAACATCTCGATTTTACGGCTATCGAATTATTTGGCACAATAGTCTTCTTGATTTCTGACGAATTTCTTTCGTTTCACTAGTTTGATTTTCATGTATGACATTGAGGCAAAGTTTCGACATGGTGTACATCTTTTGGTTGTTTCGTATGAGTATTTCCTTGGTTGTTGCTAACTCTGTCAGCATGTTAACTCTGTGCTGCTTATAACCATACTGACAGGCTTCCTTACTTTCCAAAATGGCTGAAGTTACCAGCACTGTTGCACATTGGTTGAGATGCTCAGCGGACTTGGATTGATGTTATCGTAACCACCACTTGTTGATAGGGTGTGAGGTGATCTTTGGTTTCCTTACCCTCGCACTTGTTACATGATAGCTGCTAGTGTGTGCGCTCCTATCATAATGCTAGCTATGGCCGTGTTCGACCAATAGTGTGAATTCGCTTGCAAGGTGCTTCTCATCAGTTGATTCGCATGATAGCGATACGTTGACAAAAGGTGTTCAGTCAAGCTGTCCTTCAGTATCCGATTTAATAGTGGCAGCTTGTGGAGCGGAAAAGCTAATATCTTGAAGATGAATTTCCTCGACAAGTATGGACATAGGGCCTTGCATGTTTAAGCAGACTTCAGAACTTCTTTCTGTAACACTGATCTGTAGCACATATGCGTGTAATTTTAGACGTATCAAGCTCAATGCACAAAGAAGTATGGTAAATGCTGTCTATTTCTAGCAAAAAGTACTTGTAAGAATGGAGTAGTCATCAAGCTGTTTTTCATAGTTTTGATTATCTTCAAAGACTTGAATTTTCAAAGCTCTTGCTTGATTTCTTCAAGGATATTGTGGAGGATTCAAGAGTTTTGTTGCATATGCTTCTTCGTTATGATCTTCTGCTCTGCTTCTGCACTCAGTTCCTGTGCAAGAAATCTACAGGTGATCAGCTGTTTACTCAGGCGCGACTATGCCCAACAGTCCTCTATGATGAGAAGTCCTCCTCCAAGATGCCGTGATGTTTTTTCTTCGGAATTGATTTCCGTCAGGGTTGAAGGTCACACGGTGGGCAATGACTACTTTTTCCGGTATAATTCGCACAGCTCACGTTGTGTGCCACGTCTACAAGAAAGAGCACCTCCGGTGTACCTCGTCTTTCGCTTTTAAACAAGATATCGACACTATGAAGGCTGCTCGTAATATTTGTGTTGTGTACTTGGTACTTAATTTGAATTTTAGTATAGTAGTAAGACAATAGACTATGACACAGAAGACAATCAAAAACAAAACTCATGTCCGGGTAATGAAGGAAATGAGCCCTGGGAGGATTAAGAAGTGGTGTCGAAATGAAGAAAAAGAAAAAAGATGAAGAAGTGTCTGTGAGGAATAAGATTTTTAAGATCGCTAGGGGCAACATTCGAACTCTGAATATAAAGCGGAACCGCTCTAGAAAAAGACGATAGGGGATATTGGAGAAATCAATAGGGAGTGTTTAGGAGGAGTCGTGACTGAGTAAACGATAGAATCACTAGTTGACTTCTTGCATTGATAAATAGAGATTGTGTTGGCTGCTAGTTTGCCTAGCTTTCGTCAATCTCCCACATCTCGCGCGAGCCTAAAATTCAAGCTTTATCATAAATGACCTTTGAGAGACCATTCTTTTCGTTGAACAGGTAAATATCATTCGGGTGAATCATTATCCGAAAAAAATATAAAGAATCCAAAAAAAACCCACGGTACTTAAGTAAGAGGACATTAGATATTACATGAGCATCATGAGATTCTCAAATGGCTTCAGTACAGAAGTACAGAGGTTGTTGGGTGGGAAGTATCGAAACTAAAGATCGATAAAAATTAGTCAAATACAAAGGTAACAGGAAATACTAGTTGAATCGATTTAATTTTAAGAGCTTATACACTATTTACAATATCAGTTTTAGACAAAAGAAGAACAATCGCAAATAACTTCTCAAGTCACTGGACAAATTGGGTGGAGACGAGAGGGCATAAAATATAGACGAAATGAGCTCTTTCTTGATGTCATTGAGTACGTAAACCTACTAATGAGCCAGCAAGGTCGGTTCTTTCTTATTGTTAAACGTTGTGTAAAAGGTTTACCCAGCTTTTTCTGGGTTTGTGAGTCCGTTCACTTAATCACTTTCCAGAGCCTTCAAAATTTTCAAAGTACCACATCCTCCACCAACGCTGTCGTCGCAGTAGTTCCAAAATGCATTTAATTCATTCTGTACTTTCTAAAGCTCCTTTTTGTGCATTGAGGCTCTAATTCCGTCCCTTCATACAGCAATGGTCATACGCGATGAACGACAACTGAATGAGTGACTATCTAAAGAATCCTTACAAGTCTATTCAATAATGTGACGCACAGTTACTAGGAGTTTGCCACTTCGATATATTTTATAGAACACTGTTGTAATACCCAAGTACGACTCTCTGAATCTCGGCATTTCAATTAGAGCTTTAAGTTTTACTACTTCAGCTGTGCAAACCGAGGTTCCAACTACATTCATCCGGCTTGCATTTCCGCGCTTTCGCCTTCTTAGGAGCCTGGATAGACAACAGCCGTTTGAGAGAATTATTCAATTAAGCACTATTTCACTGCAGAAAAAGTCCGATGGAGAACGTGAATTACTTCTACAAGGTCAGCAGTTGATATCTAACCTTTAGTATAGTCGACATGTGCGGTCCACCGATCACCCCGAGCTGGGAGAAGTGCGGTTTAAAGGCACCATTCACGACTAAAAGTTATTCAGATCTTACCTTATTAATACTCAGCGGCCCCCATGGGTTGTTGAAGGGACCCTCTCACTCCCCCAATCTCGACGTCCAGGGCGTAGTGGCAGCTCCGTTGTTGACGTAATTCGCATCTCCGCCCCTCGACTGATGTCACGTCAGACGAGTGTCGAGACGACACAGCGTCATGTAATCGCGTCAGGACCCACCCTAAACTGCAATTTGGCAAATTGCCAGAGACGCAATGTGTTGTCTGCTAGTGCGGACAACACACTGCGTCTCTGGTCTGGCAACTTGCCAATTTGGCCGAACACCCCCTAACCACCGTTATTTCAATGTGAAACTCGTCCAACCCCCTTTCCAGCTCNTTTTTTGACCCTTTGTAATTCTTTTTGTTTGTCTTTTTCTGCGGTTTCTTCGCTGTTATCGCTTTATTCTAGAGTACTTCTATCAATTCCCGTCAAAAAAAGGGTAAACT